TATTTAGTGAAAATTTTGTTAAGAAAAAAAAAAGCTAAGTATAACAAGTGATGCCTTTTTTTTTAACTACTTAATTTGTTCCTTACCCTTTATATTTTTAAAATTCTCTAGTATTTTTAATGTATCAACAATTCTCAATTAGGTTATTCTGTAGAAAAAGAAAAAAAATTTATTAAAAAATGAAGTATAATTTTATTATTATTTTAAGAACATTAATTTGAATAGGTAGATTTCTCATTTAGATGATATTTGACACCTGAAACCAAATTCGTTAATTAGTAAAAGTAAAATTAGAACTATCGATCAATAAAAATTTGTTTTTCTTTTCCTACCAAATGTCATGTCCCAGGGACATGCCACTTGTCTAACATGTCATAAAAACAAGACTTTATAGATTTTTTTTGGGATGATTAAATACTTGAAGGGTCGAATTGAGAATTTTAAATGATGGAGAACCAAATTGAGAACACCTAAAATATTACAGCTATGTTTACTTCTAGGAATGGAAATCAAGGATTGTGAATGRAATTTTTTCCATTCCTTTGATGATGTTTACCAAGTTGTAAGAATGAAATCAAATTGTTGACCTACCTCAAATTTGGGAGTCCCATTTCGGACAATCCCATTCCTCTCCCACACATTAATCAATCCCATTATGATTCCTTATTCCGTGGATCCCACACATTTATTAGAATTTATTAGAGTTACTTTATTACTTTTACCCTTTCTCCCTTTTTATTAATGAGACCTATAATTTTATTAGGAAAAAACTTACCTCCTCAATCAGGAGGAAGCTCTCCTCCTGAATTCCTATGTGGTCCACTAGCATATAGACTAGTAGATCACATAGGAATTATATAAAATTAAAAAATCCACTTGTTTATATGTTGTTGGACCACATATGAATTCTAGAGAATGAAAGTTTTGTCCATTTTATTAACTATTTCTTTTTCATTAATATTACTAATGTTTTTTCTTCTAATAAAATTTTATACAACTTTTATTTGGTTGGTATGATTTTATTATAAATTATTATAAATTTATATTTAATTTTAAAATTGTTGACTTTATTATTAATTAATATTAATACATTTTTTAAAAAATAATTTATTGTTATTGAATATTAGAATATTAAAATTTAATAAAAAAGTATTTTTAATTAGTGTAATTTTAATATTAGATAAAATGTCATAATAAAAAATATTTACTATAGTAACAAAATAAATTAAAATTTATTGTTATTGTAATTAAAAAAAGATTAGCACAATAATGTATTTATAATTAACTAGAAAGAATAAAAAGGATRTACTAGTAATTGTTATATATCCGATTCCGATTCCGATTCCAGACAGTTTTAGTAAACAACATCAAATAAATTCTTGTTCCGATTTCAGAAAATTTATGGTAAACAACAATGGAATAACATTCTCATTCCGATGGATTTTTATTCCGCTTCATTCCCATTTCGATTATTCCGGGTAAGTAAACAACCCTTCAACAAATTTAGCATAAATTTTTGTTACTTTTTTGTCATTTTGTCGTTCTCCAATTATTTTGCTGCTTTATGTTTAGAGTAGGAAAAAGGCAAAATTGATCCCAAGTGAACACATCAATTTTAAAAAATAAAAAATAAAATCAATCTAAATTTTCTTAAGACCACTGTGATGACAAATTTGTGAATAGGTATTTGAAAACTGTAATGCACAAATAAACAATAGAAACGATATCTATGGATATCTATTTAAATCTTATGGATAGCAAAGTTTCCCATGAGCTTCCCTTTTCATATACAACATATCTAAGAAAATGATGACAAATTATTTTCATTTTTATTAATTTTCAATTCATTCATTATTTTATATGTTTTATTTATTTTTACTTTAACAACATTTAAGGGTTTGAACTTTCGACCTCTTAATTAGAGATATCAAATATGTGCTAGTTAAACTATGGATATTAAGCGAGCGCCCAAAAACTTAAAGACCAAGATTGAAGAAGAATTGACCTAAGAACCAATGACCAAGGCCAACCGGTGGACCAGCTGGTTGGCTTGGCCTAGCCTTGTAGCCGACCTGGTCGACTCGTCCAAGCCTTGAAGTCAACCTGATCGACTTGGTCTTGCTTTGTAACAGACTTGGTCGGCTCAGCAAACCAGTACCAGCCAATTGACCTGCTCGGTTAGGTTGGACTACAAAACCGTCTTCAATTGATTGGTTGACTTTACCTGCATAGGTCACTCGATCGATTGTCCTTTGGTTAGTCAGGGGTCAATTAGTCCAGAATGGGTATGAATTCAAAATAGGCCCCCAGGGAGGAAGATCCCGAGATTATGGAGTTCGAATTGCCAAGGAATTTGAAAGGAGAAGACTGATCAAGAATAATAGGCCAGAAGACTGAAGAAGATCAGCAAGCTAGAAGACTGATCAAGATCAACGAGTCATAAGGCGATTAAGATCAATGAGACAAAAGGTCGATCAAGATTGATGAGCCAGAAGGCCGACAATGAATAACCGACAAAGAATGACTGAAAATGGATTTACGTTAAATACTTCCAAAGCAGAAGTCTGATATTTCGTCTAACTCATTATCTTCAACGTTGAGAGTATGACTAATGTTATGTATAGGAAAATCCCTATTTTATCTAATTTTGAATTCATTTTATCTAAGGAATTCAAAAGAAAAAATATTCAATGGCGTTAGGATCTCGTTTATATTTGAGAGAATATATCCATTTTTTCAAGTTTTTCCTTTATAAATAGAAGAAAAATATTAATAAATGAGGTATGCTAGAGAACGTACCTTTTGTTATGTTTCACATAAAATTCCGATTCTGACTTAAGTACTGGAGCATGCGTGACTAGATGTGTAGTTTTTCTATTTTACAGATTTTATCAAATTCCTTTTTATTTCAGGAGAGTGATGCAAACTTGGTAATTCAAACACGTCAAATTTATGCCTCTGAGACAAAACATGAATTATTTTTATATCATAACCTCCTTAATAGAAGTAAAAATCAAGGCTAAGTTTATTGGTCC